TTTCGGATGATGTGGTGGTGGAGTGGTGCTGTCAAGTTATTTTATTTATATATAGGGGCCTATATATTGACAATGCTCAGCATTCATATAGAAATATGTACAGTAATTATATGTACAATAAATTATTGTATAGCCTACACGATTACCTGTGTTTCGTGATGTATACATATCTTTTATGCATATTAATAATAATAAACTATAATGTTGCATATTTTGTGTGCTTTGTTTTGGAGTTCGTGTCTTCTGGAAAACAACTCGAATAATAATATGTACAATAAATTGTATAGCCCTCGTGATTTTTCAGTGTTTCATTATGTGTACTTGCGTACATTAGTTGTATGCATAGAGCTAATGATGTACATGTACTTGTATTTTAAAATAAACTTTAGCGTGACATATTTTGTGTACTTCGTTTAGGAGTTGTGTCTCCGGGGAAACAGTAACAACACAACAAACTCAAACATGTACAAGAAAGACACACCAACACTTGGCCAGGCAAATACTCACACAAAGACCAAGAAATTAATGCGGACACAATAACATTAACAGCTCTCTGTGTTGAAAAAACAAAAACAGTCCAATGACAAACATTCGAATCGTCATTACATGTACTTACTACATGAACTTACAGACAAGCCTGTGCTTGCAATATATTTTTGTCAGGCCTCGTCTCACAACTGTGAGCAACAGTCACAGCTTTTAAAAGATGTTATCTTATGTCATCATACTCGCTGCAGTTGAATACTGTATTTTCCCTTGCTACTATATCTCAGTTCCTTATCCAAGTTGCTTTTGGACACAGCTGGAGAAAGATGCCTAATGTAGACATCTTTAACAGGACTTTTTCATGGTCTATAGGTCTATTATCTTTGACGGGACTTTTTCACCGTCTCTATATATCTTTGACAAATACTTTTCATTGTCTTTACCCTTTATGGGATTCTAACTGGGGTCGCTCGGGCTACGGGACAGCGTGATGTGACCTGAGCTACCTTTCCAGACCGCTATTTTCTGTTTCTTGAGAATCAAGTTGACAAACTACAAAAGTTGAAGGGTGTGGGGCACAGATGAGTCCATACTTCTTTTCTTTCCTGGCAGATCTTCCGTCGGTCTGTTTTGTTGTTTCCCTGCTCTAAAAGACATTTGGTGATTTATCTTGTCGACGTGTTTTTCCTTATTCAAACTATACTATACTATAGATATAATAGAAGCTGAAGCTGAACCTGGCCCTAGATTAGCATAACCCGCCAGTTATCCACCCATTGGCTTTATCTTTATTATCTGAGATGGGCTGTTAACTTCAAAAGTACAGTCCTTGACCTTGCAGTGTGAAAAAAAAACCCACTTCAAACCCATGCACTACCACGCCTTTTCCGCCATGAGGCGAGCACTTGGGCCGGTAGGGTTATCTCTTTATTGTTTGTTTAGTTGTACGATTGTTTAGGTAAGTGTTTTACGGCCCTCGCAACTGTATAAGGTCATATGAGCACGCGGGACGCGTTAAACATTATCATTTTGGTGGGAATTAATCATTTTGAATTTTACCTGGGTGGCGGCCGAAGCCTACTCGTCATCGATTATGGACTACCAATGAATTTTTAACGTACGCAACTTGCACACAGGACCTCAGAGATTGTTCGCCCTTCTCCAATAAAGCTAGATGTTAGATCTTACTTAGATCTACCAAAAATCAGGGGAATGGCTGAAAGACGGTACATGTTGTAAGAAAGATCCAAGGATTAGCAGTTGAAAGGCTGCCGAAAGAGTCAGGAGCCCAGAGGATGGGGGCAAAGGGAGGGGAGACGTGAGAAAGTAGAGACGAAAGCAGACGACAGAACATGGTTAGAGATAAGGAAAGGAGCTGAAAGAAGAAAAGTTTACAGAAGAAAGTTTTTCGCCGCTGTCAGGTTTCGGACCCTGGACCAATTGAATGAAAGGCGAAGACTAACCTCTACATCACGATCAGAGCCCCCCCCCCCCCCTTCCCCCTCTCGGTTCTCTCTGTGCTGAACAGCCACACACACACACACACACACACACACACACACACACACACACACACACACACACACACACTTGCACACACAATACATGTACACACACAAATAAGGGCGTGTGTCCACATATCCGAAGAGTGGCCGTTTTAACCCTACTCGACTTGGGTTATTCAAGAAAAAGTACAGGATATTACATGTAAATTAAGGAATTACCACAGAATTCTACGCTGTGTAAAAGTACTAAGTGTAGAATTCTGTGGGAATTACACATAAGGGGCCAGCCAGTGTCAGTCATCATCCAGTGCCAGATCTGCGACAGACATCGGCGATCATGGTTTTCCATTCATTCCTTTGCTCGGATGCTCTCAAAAAAGCTACGTTTCCCTGATCTTTTCCTGTTTATCATTTGTTTTGGTTCCCTAAGTATGTTGTTCCGGGCCTACCCCTGCCTCGCTTGCTCTCAATTTTGCCAGTGAGAGCTAGATGTTCAAGACCCTTATGTCTATTCAGGTGTCCCAAAAACTGCATTTGTCGTTTCCTGATTGTTTTTGACATTGAGCGTCCCACGTGGGCTTCATCAAGCACTACTTCATTTGATTTCTTTTCCTTCCACGATACTCTTAGCAGTTTCCTAAGAAACCACATTTCTGTTGCTTCTATTTTATTTTCACTGTCTTTAGTGATTGTCCAGCATTCACAGCCATATAGAAGGGTTGACCAAACATAGCATTTCAGTGTCAGTACATGTACATATATTCGGTTTTGGTGGAGACACGCTCCACATTTTTACGCATTTATTATGGGTTTTTTTTTAAAGGTAGAAACAACATCAAATTAAATTATATTGACGTAACGGTAAACACGAAAAATAGAAAACATATCAGAACAATAACAGGAAAAGAAAATAACACACCAGCAAATTAAAAAAAGAGAAAAATAAAAGAGAAAAAGCAATATAAAAATGAATAGTATGTAATGCTCAAGACTTTTTTTTTTACATGAAAATAACAAATACGTGTAATTAAACGTGGGGTCAACAAGTAAGAAGGAGATGAAGTGAAGCGGAAGTGAAAATAAAGTTTCTTTCTAAAAATAAAGAGGTTCGGTTTCTTTAAAAAAAATTATTAGCCTATTCCCCGGCGGTGTGACTTTAGAAAAAATGCCAAAATTCGCGGACCAAAAAATGCCAAAAATCGCGGTCGCGATGCGCAGATGCTAGCTAAATAAGTATCAAATTCTAGATCTATCTGGCGCGCTGTCTTCGGGTTTTAAAAAAGTCGTCCTTTCATTTCGATTACATGTACTTTACAATTAAAAAAAACCCGGTGGTGATAAGAAAAATATTTCTTTGAGAATGAGAGACTAATACTAGTAATACTAGATCTAGATCTAGATCTAATACCACCTAAGCGTCTTAATGTGTCTTGGATACTATTACGCGTTTTAAAATTAGCTCCTGAGGCGAAGTCGGGAAGCTACACCCAAGACACATTAACGACTTAGCCTAATGTGTCTTGCTTGGGCAACACTGAGCGCAGGTAATGAATGGGGGAGAGATACATGTAGCCTAGATCTATCTGAGTTACAAAATGTTGAAGTTTTGTTCGGTATGCCTATTGGGTACACGATTTTGTTATTTAGATCATCAAGATATTCTAAAACAATTCCACTAAGATTGCTCTCGAGAAGTTTTTCATAGGCTAGGCCTAGATCTAGTGCTAGGAATGCTTTTTGAACTGTTATTTTAAATCAAGATACCTTGAACACCACTACACTACGGCCCTGGAATCAAAGCAGGTGGAATTTTTTTTCCGAGAAACCAAAACTAGTAAGCTATAACACCCGCACAATAGATAAATTTATATAGAGATTCTACTTGTATCTTTTTTTTTGGGGGGGGGGGGGCAGTGCCAGAAACACGAAAACAAAATAGCAAAATGTTGAGTCACAGATATATATATCAAGGTCTAGGTCAAGAGGCCTACGTCATGGAGCTCAAGCACTTTTCCCTCTAACCAATGGGAAAAGCACTCTCCACAACGTTCGGTCGATACACGCGCGACATTACGCACGGCGGATTCAAATTGAAAACAATCCCAGCCTGGTCATGTTTTTCTTTGTCCACGCCCACAATACTGAAGCTCTCTTCTTTTGAGAGTTTAAATAAAGCTATGTTGCCATTTAGACAGATTATAACTTCTCGAACGAAGAATTTAGAACTTAACAATAGTAGGTGTTATTGCCCTTACTCTTTGGGAAAAATCTTATTAAATACCAATGCTCCTGTAATTTGGGATATCTATCTTATATACATCTGTATTATACATGATATATCTTTGACTGAAGTCTACATTTATTTTTTACTACCATTTCTGGGAAAATATTGTCCAAAATTGATTTGCCCAGTTGCACAACAAAGGTTGGAAAAGCTTAAAACCCGCCATTGAATCAAGGTATTGAAGTGAAAAGTGAAACAGGCGACAATAGTAGGCCTACATAAATGATATTATGTTAGCCTAGGCCTACTGTATTTCTATATTCGAAGGGGGTCAGGATGCTATTTTTTGCCTTTCATCGAAGTGTAAAAGTTTTGCCCTCTCGATTTTCATGATGTTAAAAGTAACAGTACTATTTGCGGGTCAGTTCAGGGTACAAAGAGCGTTATTTTTACTCCCTTGAAAAGAAAGCGTCTTCATGTCTGTGTGCTAACGTTCATGAGCAAGACTACCCGTTTGTTAGCTAAACATTAGATTTATTGTTTATTGGACCATAAAAGCATCTCACAAAATAAATATGAAACCTTGATTGACGCTTGGTGTTTTCTTCACTTGAATCCTGAGTTCAATATTTGTGACACACTCTAAAACTCAACATTTCAAAGTTTTTAAAAAACTGAGTCGTGGACAATCAAAACAAAAGGGAAACCTGATTTCAATGTTGAAGGAATGGTTTGGCCTATTTTTCATTCATAATCAGTCTTCATTCAACTAAAAAAACTGACAACCACATTAACATTTGGCGCCGTATTTGACGCGGGATTTTACATTAGGTCTTGTCTGCAGCTGCGGTCGACAAATCCGGCTCAGTTGTGCAAGGGAGCGGGCTCGTCGATGCTGTGAACAAAGCAAGTTGTCTGCTAGACAAGTTCTCGGCACTACAGTTTTTCTTTGAACACAAATTGTCTACTTGTTACGTCTCCGGCTGCTGTCTGTATTTTTGAAGTACCCTACGATATACTGGTTGTCAAGATCACCATGTATGTTCAAAAACGAGGTACGTCAGACGTTGATGAGTGAATCTTCGCGTTACCTTTTTTACTTTGCAGCTTGCCTTTCACTTTCTCTGACTTGCCTTTTTTGTTTCAACATCATCATAAATCAATTTTATGCTAGACTCTAGATCTAGATCTATGCTTTCTAGTGTAGCAAAAGAGGTTTGTCTCGATTTTGACCTCCATGGGATTGAAGTGAAAGCCAAAGTCCTTAGGACTGGCAATATTATTATTGAAATAACGGAGTGTCTACGTTAACTACGTAGCCTACACGGTAACCGGGCACCTAGCCTAAGGCTAAGTGTCTATGTACACGGTAACCCGCAACCGGGCACGTAGTCTCAATGTCATGTTGATCTACACGGTAACCGGCAACTGGGCATGTAGCCTCGATATCTAGATTCTAGATTCTAGATCTAGAATCTAGATTTCTACGTGTCGTAGGCCTACACTTACACGGTAACCGGGCAGTTCAGAACTCCAAGTTCAGTTTCTCAAATTTCTGTCATCCGGTGTTGCATTCATCCCCACCCCTTGCCCAATTGTACCTTTAAAAAAACGAAGTGTATACAGACCCGGTAACCGGGAACAAAGTCACGAAGTATACAGACCCGGTAGGGGAACTCTTTTGTGATTTCGGGAAGTTTCAGACGTCAGACCCGGTCACAAAATTCTACACTTCTAAGTGTAGAATTCTGTGGACCCGGTAGAAATCTTTTGTGTGTGTGTG